CACACACACACACACACACACACACACACATGAGCAGCTATGGAAATGCAAAAGGAGACAGGTTTGCATAATGTGTGGGGCAGTGTCCAGGAGTCAGAGAGAGATCATGTGGAAGAGAGAGAAAGAAGGAGAGAGATCATGTGAGAGAGAGAGAGACCATGTGTGTGTGTGTGTGTGTGTGTGTGTGAGAGAGAGAGAGAGAGAGAGAGAGAGAGAGAGAGAGAGAGAGAGAGAGAGAGCATGTGTGTGTGTGTGTGTGTGTGTGTGTGTGTGTGTGAGAGAGAGAGAGAGAGAAAGAGAGAGAGAGAGAGACAATGTGATCTCTCTCTTAGTCCTGCTTTAATGGAAATTCTGGAGTCTCATTTAGTTCGGGCGGACATCAGATTCTTTTTCCTATTTGTGTTTCCTATGGATTTTTAAAATCAACTGTTTCTTCTTTGTATCTTAACAGATTTCTGGATTAGCGATTTCATTTTTTGTCGAATAAATCAACTGAGAATTTCATAGTATTGGTCGAAAATCCCACTTAGGACATCTGATGGTAATTTGTATGTGGTCCCAAATAATTGGCTAAAATTCGCTTCAAATCTTGTAAATTCGTATGGGGCGGTTCTGTTGAGTTTTGGGGGATCTGTCCAAGATGGAGGGCAAAGGCACGAGATGACTCTTTGCGAGGACGGAGAGAGGGTTGCATCGGGGCTGTCTGAGGGGTACCGGCTAGGGGAACTTTCATTGGATGTGATTGGCGTCGGGCAGCTTTGGTTGTCGGATGGGTACCGGCTGATGAGGGTTCACTCTGGCGCGATTGGCCTCAGGCAGTGTTGGCTCACTCCTTTGATGACGGAGACTGGAATTTCCGAGGGGGCAGGAGATTGCAGGATGAGGATTGTGTCTGGCTCTTGCTGAGGACATGGTCTTTCGAACTCTTTACTAGGACGGAGTTGGGGAGGCGAAGGGGGGACAGATGAGTGGAGGTTCTGTTGGGTTTTGGGGGATCTGTTCAAGGTGGAGGGTAACGGGCACGAGATGACTCTTCGTGAGGACGAAGAGAGGGTTGAATCAGGTCGTCTAAGGGGTACCGGCTGGGGGATCTTTCATTAGATGCGATTGGCATCGGGCAGCTTTAGTTGCCGGATGCGTACCGACTGATGAGGGATCATCCTGGTGCGATTGGCCTCAGGCAGCCCTGGCTTACCCTCTCGATGGAGGAAACTGGAATCTCCGAGGGGGCAGGAGATTGCAGGATGACGATTGTGTCTGGCTCGTGCTAAGGATATGGTCCTTCGAACCCTTCACTAGGACGGAGTTGGGGAGGGTGAAGGGGGTTCGGATGGGGGTGGTTGAGAACAGATGCGATTGGCATTGAGCGGAGTCTCGATGGGTACCGGCCGTGGTCAGCTGACCTCATTAGAACATACCCGGGACCTCCCTTTCGATGACGAAGACAGAACTGTTGCGATTGCAGTTTTTGGAAAAAAGATGGTGGGGTATCACGCGTCCTACTAGTGAGTGNGACCTCCCTTTCGATGACGAAGACAGAACTGTTGCGATTGCAGTTTTTGGAAAAAAGATGGTGGGGTATCACGCGTCCTACTAGTGAGTGGGCTAGCTGGTAGGATGGGAATAGAGCACAGCAGCAGCAAAGATGGTGGCTCTGCTGCAGTAAGTCTTGCTGGAGTGGAGAGCAGGGGATTGTTTGGGGGGTCTGACTTTTTTTCCAAAAAGAAAGCTCTTAGGAACCTCAAATAGCGAATAAGGCGAGTAGGAGCAGAGGGTGGGTTATCACGTGTCCTGCCAGTGAGGGGGCTAGCTGGTAGGATGGGAGTGTGGTACAGCAGCAGCAGAGATGGTGGCTCCGCTGCAGTCAGTCTTGCCGGAGTGAGGTAAAGTGGTGTGATGGGGGGTTCTCCTGAGTCGTTCCTGAAATTTGTTCTAAATCATGAAGTTGCTCCAATATCTCTGAGTCAAAGCTGGGTAATGGCCCCGATATCTTAATTTTCAAATACTATTCTTAGGCCAATTGGATTTTTCTAGTAGGTTTTAGTGACGAATCTTCTGAAGGTATTCGTTATGGGACGCTGGGCCCGGTTCCCAGTCCATGCAATTTGTGAGGTAATGCTTGTATCTATGGGACGCTGGACCCGGTTTCCAGCAGGTGTTGCTCCCCACCAATAGATGGAGCTGTTAAAGCACGCTGTGCGCTGCAAATTCTGGTGGTATTGTATTCCTTTGTTGTTTCTTAGCTTTAATTTAGTGCATTAAGTTGCTTTAGTTGGCTCTTTTTAACATCCAACTGAGGCCTATTAGTGGAGGTGATCCAACTGAGGCCTATTAGTGCAGGTGATAGGAGCATCCCCCACTAATAGGACCCCCGTAGAAGATGGCTCCAATCTATTGGTGGGGGGGAGCTGCACCTGCTGGAAACCGGGTCCAGCGTCCCATTTTACAAACAAGGAGCCAAAATTGAGTCGTAACCCTATGGCCAATCCCTAATGTTTAAGGATTCGTCTGCTCAAGAATGTGTGGTGAAGAGTAGCGGAGAGAAAACCCACCCTCCTCGAATTCGATCTCAAGTGGATAGGACTAATCCAATCCAAGTCTACTTAGGTCATGTTGAAATGACCTTAGGCTCTTTTCATTGTTGGTTGACCTTTTTTTTTTTTTAAACACATCCCCTGCAGTGCTAGTGGTGTTGCTTCGAGGAACCAAACACCACTAGCACCCGGGGAGAAGCTCCATCTATTGGTGGGGAGCGACACCTGCTGGAAAACGGGTCCAGTGTCCCATATACAGACTGTCAACAGAATGCATCAAGAAACCAGAGAGGTTCAGGCTACTGAAATCGAGCGGCGCGTTAGCGCTGCGGTAACGCAGCGCTAGCGCGTCGCTTCTGGCGGTGCTTGGGCTACAGGGGAGCGCGCATAGCCCGAACTTGTAGTCGGGAGTGGTGGAGGCGAGAAGGGAAGATGGGCGAGGGCGTCGGGGGGTATCGCCTTGGGGGGGGCACAGCCATGCCCCTGCCATAGCCCGGTCTCGGTCGACTTAGGTCGGCAATCCTGTGCTGATCATGGTTGGATGGGGACAGAAGTGAGGTGGTTGGCCGGGTGGGATCTGAGCGTCGTTTTCATTGAATTTTGGCTGCAGTCGGGGATGGGATTGGTCGGGAGTGCTTTTCCCAGCCTCATATGGCTGCGGTTCATATGTAAGGGACGCTGGACCTGTTTTCCAGCATATAATGGAATGGTCAAAGTTCTGGTTAAAAATAAAAAAAAAAATAAAAAAAGAAACCAGAGAGGTTGACCTTGGCCTTGGTGCTGGTAGTAATTGGCTTGCGGTTCTTGCGGAACTATATTGGTTTTGGAACTTTTGGTATTATACATTCTTGGAGGCCTTGCGGGCCCTAAATCTGTGACTGTTTTTGTTACACTTTGCATTTGGCAGTGGGCCCTAATAAAGCTTGTTTTTTTCTCTTGACAAAGGGCCTCGTTCGACACTCCTCGGGGCCCGAAATTCCCCAAGGAAATGGTCGTTCCACTCATCCTCGGGGAAGACGCGGAAAAGAAAATGTGAAAACATTTCCTCGGGGATTCCTCGGGGATTCCTCGGGGCCACAGCCATTTTGGCGATTTCTCCAAGGGACCTCCCGAGGTCCCTCAGAGGTCGAGCTTCCGAAAGAATCGGGGCGTCGACAGCAGCTCCTTCGACAACATTTTTCAATTCCGTCTGGTCCATCGGTGGTGCTGCTGCGTCTCCACGGACATGTTGGGTCGGCAACGTTCGGCTTCACTCCAACGGTTACCGTTTGCGGCCAACCGGCATCCCCGACGTCCAGAAGGTACCGTCTTGCGTCGTCGCGTATGGCAATCCGGGGGAATGTCCCAACGGTCGGCAGATACGAATTTTTAAGGCCGCACTCCAGCTCCCAATTATGCACTGACCGTGGGAGACCGAAGACGTCCTCGGGGGTTTGTTGCGAAGTCGGGACGGCCGTTTGCAGCACTGCGCTCCGCTGTTATGTTGGCGCCCCCGTTGTCTTCCGTTTGCTGCCGTCGTCGTCGACTGTTTCATGGCTGACGTGTTCCGCAGGCTGCCGCTGCTGCTCCTCGTTGTCATGTTGCTGCTCCTCGTGGTTCTCTTCCGCGTGTGCATCCTTGGGAACGTGCCGCCGCATCGACGCAAAACAAGGTCTTCGATGAAGGACGCCAGGATGGAGGCACGGCACGCGATCCCCCGGTCCGGTGGGGAGCAGGTCGGAGGGAGGCGGTGCGGTGGGAGCCTGTCGACCGTTGGCAGGCCTCCCAGCGGGTTGGGTGTGATGCATTGCCACCGCACTTGCAACCACTCCCCGGCTCATCGGACGAGGAGGAGGAGGTGGAGAGACGGCCACAAACCGTGTCGTTGGGCAGCGGATCAACGTAGGAGCGGTCAGCCACGGAGCTGTGCGGGACGGGCGGCGGCGTGTACGAGCAGTCGTTCACTGAACTCCTTCGGCCTGGCCTTGGCGAAGACGAAGGAGATGGCCGCGTCAACCAGTCGTTCGGTTTGTCCACCGGGCGGTCTACAATTCCATCGCGCACAGTGCTCGTGCGACCCCACCTCGGCGACGAATGCGGGCAATTGACAGTTGTTGATCGATCAGCGAGGACGAGGGCGTTGGCGAGTGAGACGGCGGGAGCGAACCGGAACTCGTCGACGGCCCAACCACGGGCGGCCTCTCTGTCCAAGGGCGCCCAGGGTCGGCCGGAGTGGATGCAGTTGCCATCTCCCCTGTCTGCAGCGTCGGAAGTGGCACGAGGCCGTGGCGTCGTAGTCGACGCGGGACCGACTTCTTGGATGTTGGTGATGGTTGCGACGGGAGGGAGGTGTGGAGGGACCTGCGGCGGGATGACCGGCTGCGGCGAGAGGAATACATCACACGTGGGGTGGAGCGTCTTCACGTGGGAGATCGGGAGAACGAGAACAGGACGGACGATCCACCGGCGGAAGCAGACGACGACGACGACGACGACAAAGACAACGACGTAGAGTGTGGGGAAGGGGGGGGTGGTCACGCGTCGCCATCGTTGCAGACCGACATGGCTGGTAAGGGTGGGAAGTCCAAGCCTTCCGGCCACAATGCTCGTTCGCGGGCGAAAAAAGGGCAGGGAAAGGGGAGCGGTGGCGAAGGCGACAGTGATGCGGAGGAGAAGCACAACTTCTGGTCCGTGGAACAGATTATAGCCCTCATAAGGGCTAAACGTGACCAAGATGCGCATATGCAGGGGATGGGGCATGCATACGCACGAATGAAACCGCGGGAATGGAAATGGCAAGACGTCGCCCAAAGGTTGAAGAACGTCGGCGTGTACAGGAATGCGGAGAAATGCGGGAAGAAGTGGGACAATCTAATGCAGCAGTTCAAGAAAGTCCATCACTTTCAATCACCGTCAGGGGGTGCCGACTTTTTCCAGTTGACATCGAAGGAGAGGGCGAGCAGGGGCTTCAATTTCACGATGGATCGCGCAGTTTATGACGAGATAGAGGGGTCGACTGGGATGAACCACACCATCCACCCAAGGAACGTGGCAGACACCGGTGCGTCTGGCGGCGTGCGCCCGCCTTCGACGTCTTACGTGGATTCTGACTCGGTGGCGGACGGGGAAGGTGGTGCAGGGCGAGAAGACGACGAGGAGGGGTCGACACGAGCCTCTTCGCAGACGACGGGCACCCCCGACGGTTCTGGGAAAAGGAAGAACACGAGGCAGCAGACTTTCGAGGCGCTGACGGAATGCATGGAGAAACACGGGGAGCTGATGGCGTCGACGATGGAGAGTGCGAGCAAGCGACAATGCTCTATCCAGGTCCGACAGTGCGAGGCGTTGGAAGCGGAGGTGGAAGTGCAAAGGAAGCACTATGCCGCGTCAGACGAAGTCAGCAAACTCATGTGCCACGCATTGCTGGAAATAGCGAAGGCCATTCGTCAGCGGCCGAGCAGCTAGGAAGTKTGTTGTGCAATTGTGGAGTCCATTTATGGCGGGGGCGAGTTGTTGGTTGGTTTCCCGTTGCAGTCGTGTTGGTAGGTGCACCGTCGTAGACATGGCGAGGCTTCGTTGGTCGATCGCTATCCGTTGTTGCGGGTCATGCATGGTAGATCGCCATTCGTGCAGTTTAGTGTTGTCATTGTAAATTACCTGTAGTGCTTAGAATCCTGGGGACAGACAGTCCCGTCATTGCAAATTTGTAACGGTGGGTGGAACAGTGCGGGAAGCACTTGCCTTTTTTTTGTACTTGATGGTCCCTCTCTCTCTCTCTCTCTCTCTCTCTCTCTCTCTCTCTCTCTCTCTCTCTCTCTCTCTCTCTCTCT